TAATAATAAGTAAGTGGAGTTCTATTTATGCCCAACGTCACTAATAAATGTTTTCATATGCGTCACCCCCGGCTTTGGCACAAAATTCCTCAAATGCTTCATTTCTACTAAGTGAAATCGTGATATACACCAGTACATTTCTAATTTTTTGAATTTCATCCTTAATATGTTTTAAACCGTCTCATACTATTAAATTAAAAATATGGCATACACCTCGAATATGAAACAAATAACCACCGAAATCGGGTTGCAGTACTCTGTACAATTTATCGATAACTACCTTATTTACACTAGCGTTGTCGAACGTAAATAAACGAAGTTTACTCTCGCAACGATATTCTTTAACAATTTTTATAATAACGTTAAATATGTTGTTAGCGTTGTGAGGGAATAATTTTAAAAGCTGTAATTTTTTTATGTACACACCAAATTGGGTCTATGTAGTATGCAGTTGCAACTATATAACCTCTTTTATTAATCATTTCCCATATATCCGAAGTTAAACATCCCCCCACATTTTTGTAAATCGACAATCAATTGTTTATTTGAATTAAAGAAATATTCTACTGTATCAAACGAACAGTATTTCGACTTACCATAACGTACCTCGGTGAAAATCTTCTTTCTCGTAGGAGACGAAATGTTGGTTGTCCACTATTGTTAGAGGCAACTCAATTGCGGCAACGAACTTCACCATTCCCATTCGAGCTTTCTCCTCCGAATACATCCACGTAGAAAGTGGCGTAATAGTAGCAACGGTGCTTGGACTACCAAATTGTAGTTGCGTTTGACTAGCCGTGAAGAAGCCCATGTTTGGTCACACATGTTTTGTAGTGACTGTTGAGATGGGTGGTTCCAATATCTTTTTGTCATGTCAATCGTTGTTGACAGTATTTACATACTGTTTTGAATTCTGGAAGTCTATCGACCACACGACCAGATTGAACCAATTTAAAATGGTCCCAACATTTTACCTGCTTTTTCCCCTTCTTTTCCCGATGCACATCGGGAATATCTAATACAGGTTCATCATCTTGTTCTGCCTCTAAAATATCAATGTCGTCCAAATCAATTGGATTACTACTTCCACGAGCATCGAAATTCGAAATATTTTCTGGAATATTTAATTCATTTAAACCGATGAATTCATTCCAAAATTGACTGTGGGGCGTGGCAGGTGATTCACCTCCGACACCGAATAAGTTTTCAACAAATGAGCGTGGATCCATTTGTGAATTGAAAATTTGTAATGAGATAATTTATATTGAATAATTGAAATTGAATGTAGAAGTAAAATTGATAATGAATGTAAATTATGTAGTAGTGTAGAAAATAGATTGTAAAATCAAGATTATAACTCAATAATGTAAAATGTTGAAGATAATCAAGATATTCGAAATTTAGACAGTAGAGAATGAAAAATTGATAGTTGGGTGGAGAAAAATGAATTAATGATATTTATAGAAAAAAATTCAGTGATCGTTCTGGTCACTGAACTTTTTCTTTTTTATTTATTTATTTTTTTGACGAGCCAGTCGGCTCGTGGGCTTGCTCGACGAGTACTCGCCTAGCGAGCCATCCTGCTCGGCTCGGGCTAGTCTTTTGACGAGCCGTTCGACTCAACTGCCACCACTAGTCATAATTCAACTATTAATATTAATGATAGTATTATTAAACCCGCTCTACTTTCACTTTCCTCTGATCTCCTTTCTCTCTCTCTAAATACCACGCACAATCAATTAGGGATTTCTCGACTTCTCTCTCACAGCCTGTGGTAGATTGACAATGAGGTTCTCTCATTGTGGATCAATATTTGACCTCGTTGCGGCAGTACAAATCTGCACTGTGGTGATGTGGTGGTGTGTGCAATGTTTAGGCGCAGTTGTGGTCATAGTTTTCTATGGAAAAAATCATAGCAGTAAAAATCAGTCCAAATAAGAAAAAATGGACTTGGATATTCCATATTCAGTTTAGATACTGCTTTATCCCCCATCTCTTTCAATTGAGAGATTTCTATTGAAATGATTAATTTGTTGATTACTGCCACTTTTTTTTTTCTATTTTAATTCCATAATTTTTAAATCGGATTTTCCTTAATTCATGTATTTTTTATATTCCCCATAATCATTTTTGGGCTATTGCCAATTCGTGTTCGAATTTTGCGGCGAGAATTTTCAAATTTTCATGTTTATGTGTTAAATCACTTGAGTAGTACACAATTCAATCTCATGCAATTTGTGATGGTTCCGATGGTGGTGGTGATGATACAAGTGTTGTCGATTGTGGTCGCAAGTCATTGTGCATAAATCTATGTACACAGGTCACAAATCAAATAGAACTAGTCATAGATCGCTGATTTATATTCATGTGTCACAACTATGGTTTTTGTTGGTGGTGGAAATGAAATTGCCACTTCTCCCTCTATTTTGTTGGTTTTTGTTAGCTGTTGGAGTGGTGGTGGTGGTGGTGGTAGTTTGAAAGTAGTGGTGGTGGTGCTGACGGTGGTCACATGTTCATAAAGTGGATAATATGACCTATGATGTGTGCGGTGTAACCCGTGAACATAAATTAGTGATATGTGACCAATTTTACTCGATCTGTAACATGTGAATATTGATCTATGATCTGTGCACAATGACCTGTGACATGTGAACTAGTAATAATGTCTTTGTGCACTTATTATAGGTCACATGTCATCGTGTCTAGGTCATACATCAATGTTTACAGGTCACAAATAACTGATTTATGATCACATGTTATAATTCACATCACATGTCACCTTTCATAGGTCATATTGTGTAGGTGACAGATGAATATTAACTGATCACAAATCAGCTGTCACATATCTTTGTATACTAATAACATAATCACATATTCAAGTTCACGTATCACAATTCATATGTTATGGGTCACTGGTAATAGTTCACTTGTCATTTTGCACAGGTAACATATCAATGTCCAAATCTAAAAGAATTTATCACGAGCCATTAGATCAATATCACATGTAACAAATCAATGTCCAAAAGCTACAGATCTGAGAGGACCAACCACAGACCATTTAATCAATATCACAGGTAATAGTTTACATGTAGTTTAAATCAAGCCACAAAACAAAATTACAAATTTACACTGGATTTGATGATAAATCAAATATCTGAATCAAATTTACACTCCATCGACGGACCAATTCTCTACGGTAATTTAAATCACATCTCCAACATCTCATTTCTTCAATCATTTCAATGCCGTCAATTGTACAAACTGAAGTTCAATTAGATAATTGATATTTTGCTAAATTAACAATCCAAGCAAGCTGTCATGGATCTCGAATTGAACGCCTTTATCTAGATTTGTATTATCATCATAGTGTGAGAAGGGATGGCCACATGTGGATGTCGGTGACTGTGGTTTAACGATTCTGTAGAGAAAGATCATAGAGAAATTAGAGAGGGAGTGGTGTGGGTCGAGATATTAAGAAGAATATTTATTAAAGATATAATATAATATTTATTAATTACTACCTGGATTTTGAATCTCTTAAAATTGAATTGGAATATAGTTCAGGCTTGATTTATATATTCTTCCCCTTTATATATTATTTGAAGTGCGGTCTCACGCATTTAGTAGAGTAAAACTCACAAATTATCCAATTAATATGTCACAAATTTTATTGGTCACAACTTATTTCATGGTCACAGACTCACAAATTATCAAATTAATATGTCACATATTATTTATCGGTCACAAATCACTAATTTTATAGGTTATTAATTATTTTACGGTTACAAATTATCAAATTAATAGACCATGTATTATTTTTCAGCAATAAATCATAAATTTTATAGGTCATGACTTATTTTACGATCACAAATTATCAAATTAATATGTTACATATTATTTCTCGATCACAAATCACAACCTATTTCACGGTCACAATTCAATCACAAATTATCAAATTAATTTATCACAACTTAACAGATTATGAGTCGCACGTATAAATTTAATCACAATCTTATATTTTTTAGGTTACATAATATTTATTGGTCATAACTTTTCTATTTTACTCAGTCATATATAATTTAGGTAGAATAGTAGGTGGGTCCCAAACCTTTCAAAACATAGAAGAATATATCCAAACCTTTCATTTTGGTAGCTGAGATCCCAAACTTTTAATGGTAGCTGGAGGACATATGGATGAAATCCATCCATTCCTTTGTTATTTGATCAAAAAATTAAAAGTTTGACTCGAAATCACTCATTGTATTGTGTATTTCGAAAATTCATTTTGATAAAAAAAAAATGAGGCTCAAATACTATTTCAACCATTAAAATTTGAAACAATGGGTTCAAACGAGGGCCTAAATATTTCGATTCGATTCGTTTCTATTAAAATGCCCGGAATGTCCACCCTAGCTAAAACCCATATAAAGCACGCACATACCCGATGGCCGGTACCCCTACACTTCAGTCTTTTTGCTGAACCCTAGTTCCTCACTAGAAAAATTCCTTGTTTTTCTCTTATCCGATTTCTAACTCCCTTAATTCTTTATTCGATTCTTCATAATTAGCTTCAATTATTGTTAGTATCGCTGTAGAAGATTGAAAACGATGTCGGATGATGAAAGAGAGGAGAGGGAGCTGAATCTCACCTCTCCTGAAGTCGTCACCAAATACAAATCCGCTGCAGAAATTGTTAACAGTTAGTCATCTACCCTCTTTCTCTCCGTCCGTGTATTTAAATTTGCATGAGTTAGAATTTGGGTGTACGTTGATAGTACTATGGAAAGATTATACATATATATATATATATATATGGATTATTTTTGGTTTCTTGCTCGCTGTTGAATTATGAATATAGTGGGGTCATTTTTTTATTTTTTAAATCTGGCGTCGGATGATTTTACAAAGATTGCAATTCTATGCAGAGTCATTGCAGTTAGTGTTGTCAGAATGCAAGCCGAAGGCTAAGATTGTTGACCTTTGTGAGAAAGGGGATGCTTTTATCAGAGAGTAAGCAATTTTCTTTACGTAATTTGTGACAAAAAATTATTTACCATTACTTTATGAGAATATATAGTCATAACTGTGATGTATATGTCTTTCAGAAGTGATCTAGGGAATTATTTATGTTATTATGTCATAATTACATGATGCCATTGGCTTTTAGGCAATCGGGTAATATGTACAAGAATGTGAAGAAGAAGATTGAAAGGGGTGTGGCATTCCCGACTTGCATTTCGGTGAACAATACAGTCTGCCATTTTTCACCATTGACCAGTGACGAGACTGTGTTGGAAGAGGGTGACATGTTGAAAATGTAGGCTTTCTTCGAATGCAAGTATGATATTTTATCTCAATATAAAGTAGCAAACAGCAATCATGCAAGTGACTGACCTTTTTTGGGTAAATGCAGTGACATGGGGTGTCACATAGATGGGTTTATTGCCGTAGTGGCACACACCCATGTTCTTCAGCAAGGACCGGTGACCGGCAGAGCAGCTGATGTCATTGCTGCAGCAAATACTGCTGCTGAGGTTGCTTTGAGGCTTGTGAGGCCAGGAAAAAAGGTATTTCTTTGTTTTTTGTAATTTATCATGTGCGATCTTGTCGTCTTGTCTGTTGCGCATAAATGATATATTCACGAGGTTATAATAACAAATTGGAAGTTTAAAGTTGACTTCAGATTTTTTGTTATCGTATATAAGTTTTTTTTTTCCTTTTTCTCCACTAAAGTAATTCTAATATTAACTTCTAGTTGTTTGTCTATCTATTTGTGTAATGTGTTTACTTCTATCCTTTTCCTTTGGGTAAATATTTGTTAAAATTCTTGCACGGTCTTTCATTGATTAGTTTCTTCTGAATAGATTTGGTTATTAATGTGATGTTAATTCATATACTCCATACCCATTTAATTGCATGAACGTTTTGTTTTCAATGTATAAATATATTGCCATTTCGTAATGTGTTCTGGCCCTCATTTTTGATGAAAATTACTTCTATGAATGAGACTTCTTCGTGCCATTGCACAATAATACTTTTGGTACATCTAGGGCTGAACAAAATTTCCGAACTGAACCGCGCGGTTCTTCATAAGCTAAATACCAATGTCTGAATCGAAAATCGATGGGTTCGGTTCGGTTCTCGATTCTAGACCTAGAACCGAATAAGAACCGAATTTAGATAATTTTTAAAAATTTTTATATTGAATTAATTAATATTTTTTAATTTTTTCTAAACAAATTAGCAAATTAACTAATTTAATGATTAATGTTCTAACTCTCAAGCCAAGTCCATGCCTAGCTAACCCAGCCCAACCTAATTTCTAAATTCAAATTTTTGATTTAATTTTTTTGTCTTATTAATTTCATTCTTAGTCCAAAATCTAGGTCTTTTTAAATTTTTATCAATCTCTTTCCAATTTAACACATTCATTTGGTAACCACTGATTTAATGACCACAAATTATTTGATAAATTGAAAACCTACATTTACATGCCCAACTCTAAATCGTCGNACACTTTCATTCGGTAACCATTAAGTCATTGACCCCAAATCATTTGATAAATTGAAAACCTACATCTACATGCCCAAATCAAAACCGCCAACTGCCGAGTCCGACTTCCCATCTCCGATGCCCATTGAAGCCGCGACTTCCAACCCCGACCACAGATCGTTGACCATTAGAAATCTAATAAAAAATTTAATTATGGTATGGAACGGAACCGAATCGAACTCGAACGGTTCCATAATTATATTTGGACCCGACAGTTCCATTTATTAAATCCTTGAAAATTTTGGTTCGGTTCGATTCAGATAATTATATTTGGACCCGACAGTTCCATTTATTAAATACTTGAAAATTTTGAACCGAACCTCTGAACCAAACTGAACCAAACCGGACCATGTCCAGTCATAGGTACATGTTATTTGATTTTATTGTGTAAGTCATATAAGTCGGAGGCGTTAAACGATAATCCCTGTCTACTATTTGTTATATTAAATTACAGATACTCTCTATCAATTCTTTACTTCATGGATCAAGGTGCGTTACACTTGTAGCTCAACTGGTAGTAAATCCTTCAACACTCCCCTAAGTGATGAATACCTTGTATAAGCTATGGATTAACATCCAAGTGAAGCTATTGTCATAGTTACTCTGATAGGGGACATCATCTTAGTTCTACTAAGTCACTTCATAAATGTTGCACAAATTGGTTAGCCTTTGTTTGGTTTAGCTAAAAAAGTTCATAAAAATCGATGTCAAATTCAGTAATTAATTTCAACTGCACATGTTGTGGGACTCACAACTTTTATTAACTTTTCAACCACACTTTTTATCAACCTTTGTCAAAATCTACTAAAAATCTGAAATTTAGCAAAATCAAATAGGGGTTTAGTGGTTTACTGTTTAAGTATTGTATTATTGTACTTAATGTGAGCGTCAGGGGGAATTGTAGAGGAGATAGTGATATGTAAATATCTAAATGAGAATTAATAGAGCTAAGAAGGCTCTTTGCTGAGGAATTTTTTTTTTCCTTTTTATTCTCTTCTTTCCATGTTGCCTATAATGTAGTTGGCCTTCTAGAATATTCTGGCCGATGGAGTACTAATGGTACTAACCAGTTCAGATAAACCAACATTAATTTAGTAGTGTGAAATCCTTCAGGAGAGTAGGTAAATCAAGCTGTCAATTTTTAAAGTTGGTTGGAAGTTGAAACTAATAACTTTCAGTGAACCACTTTCACATGAAATTGCCTTTTCACACCCTTTTTTCCAATTCATCAAATCTCACTACCCTTTTTTTTTGAACTGTGAACATGATTCTCTGAAACCTCTTTGTAGGCTTTGTTACGGTGATAGAGGGTATCATGTTTTGTGGTTTCTTTAGTTTCCTTGTTTATTTATTTATTTTTCCCTCTTATCTGATGCGTAGTCACAGAGGCACACTCAGGTGGCCCGATACATTTTTCCTTTGTGGTTTGAGGTGTATGCCTTAGTACGAACCAAAAATTTAAGTCAAAATTAGAAAAACAATAAAAAATAAACTTGTAATAATAATAAACAATCTTGAAAATTCTCGAGAAGAGAAGTAAGAAAGAAGAATTGCAGAAGTTTTTTTTTTGGCAGGAGCTGCTTTTTTTGCTTTTGAAGAAGCTGTTTTTTTTGCTGTTCATTGTTTTGGGAATTGGGTGGCTGGTGCAGGGGTGAATCGAGAAAGAAGAATTGCAGAAGTTTCTTTTTCCTTTTATTTGTCTTGGGTGGCGAGTATTTATTAGCCCATGTTTGAGCCACATTAAAATTCTCATTCTTCTACTCATTTTCAACCGCACATTTTGCAATAAAATAATATTTTTCATCACAATAATAACTTTTCCTTATTTTTCAATCACACATTCTGCATCAATCTACTATTCCAAAATATATTCTTCCAAAATAATATGACTCAAACACACCCTTATTATAAATTTATAATATTAGTTCTTTTGTAGTTGGTGGATGTTAGAATATGTTGAACATTAATAACGAGTTGGTGGGCAAACTTGCAACTATTAGGAGTGCATGCCCCACGTGCCTTGAGGCATTCATCTGGTTTGTCTGTCTCATGTGCCTCCTCATACCCCTCTAAAATTAGTTCCTCAAGGCTGACTGCTTGCACCTTGATTTCTGGTGCGTCTCCCAAATGCCTTTTTAAACCATGGCTGTGGGATTACATTCCATGTGAATCTTTCGTCATAGTTATTTTGATACGCAATCTTAAATGCCCGTCTTACTTTGATGAGTTTATGTGAATTTTAAATCTTTTACTTGTAAAGTGGTTCATCTTAGTTTGAAATAATGTGGACTTTGAAATTTTACTTTCATATCCTGTTTAGGTAAATATACAGTAGTTTAATTTCTCTAACAAGCGTTTGCAAAGCGCTAATAAATGTCATTTTCATCATTATGTATTTTCAAGAGTCGTTCCTGATTCTCAGTTTCATCTGGCTTTGTATGACTTGTTTAGTTATTGTTACAAAGATGATATGTTAGCGAACGCCTGAAGAATGGTAAAAAGATGATGTAGGGTAATCATTTATATACCAGTTTTTTCCTTTCAACTGCAGTGTATATAGTTCAAAACATCTACTCCCTGGTCCCAACAAAGGAAAACTGCTTAAGGCGAAAAAAAGGGACAACTTCATCCTACCCTTCCAAAAACTGATCCACTGGAACTTTGTTTTGCATCTCCTTATGGATTTGAATGATGTTCACTTTTTGATGGGATTGTGAAAATGTTGTTCTTAAGAGAACCTGGGAACAAAAAGTTTGTAGTTGCTAACGATGTGGTGAAGATTTTAGATCATGTTCAACTTGTTCTGTTCGTGGGTGCCACGTTGATTTTAATGCGTATGTCGAATTGCTCTAACCATATAGTAACATCTGCTCATAATTTTTTCTCTCTTTTATGGCAGAACAAGGATGTCACTGAAGCAATTCAAAAGGTTGCTGCTGCTTATGACTGCAAGATTGTTGAAGGGGTTCTCAGTCATCAAATGAAACAATTTGTGATTGATGGAAACAAAGTTGTTTTGAGTGTCTCTAGCCCTGAGACAAGAGTTGATGAAGCTGAATTTGAGGAAAATGAGGTTTATGCTATCGATATAGTTACAAGCACTGGCGAAGGCAAGGTAATTATCATGCTAGTTGTTGATATCAGCAAAACATTTAGTTGGTTTTCTTTTATCGCTAACATTCATATGTATCAAACGTGCAGCCTAAGTTGTTGGATGAGAAACAAACGACTATCTATAAAAGAGCAGTTGACAGGAATTACCACCTGAAGATGAAAGCATCTCGGTTCATATTCAGTGAGATAAGTGAGAAATTCCCAATTATGCCATTTACTGCTAGGTTAGTTTTGCCCTACAATTTTGTTTGTAGCTTTCAAGTACGTGCTTTTCTACTAGTCCAATCTTCTTCAGCTAAGATAACTAGCAGGATGAATGAATAATAGGGCTTTGGAGGAGAAGCGTGCCCGATTGGGCCTAGTGGAGTGTATGAATCACGACCTTTTGGAGCCATATCCTGTTCTTCACGAGAAGCCCGGTACAACTTATTATGGCAGAAAAGAATTATGATTCTATGATTATGATCACTACACTGGCCTAAACATAATTGCTTTTATTGCAGGTGACTTGGTGGCTCACATAAAATTTACAGTCTTGCTAATGCCAAATGGGTCAGACCGGATCACATCCCATTTGCTGCAAGAGCTGCAGCCGACTAAAACTGTAGATGACCCTGAGATAAAAGGGTGGTTGTCTTTGGGCACAAAGGCAAAGAGAAAAGGTGGCGGGAAGAAAAAGAAAGGTTAGTTAGAAATCAAATTTCTCAATAGTCGCACCTGTTAGGATCCCCAGTTCCTGATGA